TGGGGACTTTTGTACGCATGGGTTGTGCCGCCGACACACACGCGCAAAGCCTAGACTGCGTAGAGCGTCGCAACCTAGAGGGTTGGGAGAAAATTGAAAAGACCACCTCCGATACATTCTGATCATATATGAGAGCCATATTTGCATATTGCATCAATAAATACAAATCTCCGAAAAAATTAATTCGGAAGCCCACCCCCCTGCTCTTCGAACGGTCTTGCCATAAATCCATTTTAGAAATCGTTTTGCATCTTGATTTTATTACCAACTTGCCAAATATTCAAAGGAAGAGTATTACAGTAGTGACGTGTATTTGCAAACTAATACGTTTGATTAGAAATATGTAAAAGTACACTTAAGATTCGATTCATGAATAATGCTTTAATTGTCAACTTTGTTTACTCATAACTTTCGAGTATATCAGGGTAAATATTGAAGAATACCTAATGATACCGTATAGATCAACGATTATGTATACATAATCGATCATAATAACATTTAATAATTACAATATGTCAGCTTTTATTTCGAGCCATGAGATTCCGATGGAAGTTACAAAGCACCTAAACTTTTGTCAAAAAAGAAAACCACGATATTTAAATATACTTCAGCTTTCTGATTTTGCAATTGCTACTATTTTTGATGCTATGAGTATTGGTTATCAATTTAGATGTATTCTTCAATATGTACAGGGTGGTCCAAAAAAAATTGGAACATTTGTTAATTGAACACAAAACCTTTATTTTTCTTCTAAAATGCACCAAAATTTTACTGAGTATAGTTCAGTCACTTATCTCTCTGATGTAAAGTTTATAGGTGCAAAGCACAAAGTTAATGCATTAAACTAGTCAATGTTTGATATGACCCCCTTTTCTTAAATATACACTTGTCAATTTCGCAGCTACTTTTTCAAGTATTCTTTGTTTTGAAGCTTTAATGAACATGATTGCTATGTACGTTTTATAAAATCATATTTGTAGTTGACATGAGGTATCTATGGTTTACTGGAAAACTATTGTGCTATTGTCAACTTAAGAATACCCCAAATCATTATTTTATTTAAGAGTAGGAAAGAAAGAACATGTCAGAGGTGAGTGATTGCATAACCCACACAGCTACTAAAGTGACAAAATCATTGTTTCCACTTTTCAGTAGAGGGGTAAAAGACCAGTTATTTACAAGGCTTTATTAAAGACCACCTCTAAGCACATATATTATAATATATCATTTGTGTTCTGGGAAAGTCCTTTATGGTATTAATATACATATATTGATATATTCAATGGATATTATTCATAATAGAACAGAAAAGGGTGGGGGTCATTTACCAGTCAAAACAGACGACCCTGGCCTCTTTTTGAAGAATATTCAATCAGTAATATATCCAACAATAGCCATCGAAATATGCTTGATACCCATCAATTTGGGTAAGAAAATGTTGAATATGTTCTTATATTTGATCTTCCAAGGCAAACATATAAGTAGTTTGTTCAAGCTGATTTTTTTAATTAAGATGGCTTGGACAAAATCAAATGAACGGCAAAGTGAATGAATCATTTCAAAACTTAGTCCCAGGCTTCAGCTTGTAATTCGAGAGAAGAGGGGTCATATCAAATATTCTCTAGTTTAATGCATTAACTTTGTTGTTTGCACCTATAAACTTTACATCGGATAAATAAGTGATTAAACAATACTCAGTAAAATTTTTGTGCATTTTAGAGGAAAAATAACGATTTTGAGTTCAATTATCAAATGTTCCAATTTTTTTTGGACCACCCTGTATATTAAAGACTTAGGTAAAGATGGAATGTCAATTGGTGCTACGGTCTTGGATTGTGATACTGATGGTTGGATAACTATGTGGGAGGGGGTATTATACTAGTCTCTTTACACGTTAGAACATGGTTTTGGATATTTGGGGTTTGTTTGATTTTCTTGCGGTTTTTGAAATCATTTTGGATTATAACTTTCCATTTGGCACTTGTAAAAAATAGTTATACTCATTGTACATTTAATTCTAAATTAACTGTACCATCTATAATGCTAATGCTAAATTCTATGTAATCCTTTACTAGATTAAAGCATATGGTGATATTCAAAACATTAATTTGTTTGCGATCACAAATGAATCAGAGTAAGAATTCCCGTTCTACCTTGAGCTTAGAGGCTGACGGTAATTCCGGTTATACGGTTTCGGTACGGAATTGACCATTTACCGGTATTGAAATCATTAACCGGTTAACCGACGACAATCCCCGGGGAAATAAAAGACACGTCGTTTTTTTAATTATTTCGTTTAATTTCCACTTTCACGATGCGTACATTTACATAGACATTTAGATGTCCATGTTTGGCAGTTCAGGTGTGATTTCCAAGTTTGGCAGCTCAGGTGTGATGTCCATGTTTGGTAGTTCGGGTGTAGTAGCTTCATGCTCAGGCTCAGATTTGGTTGTATATAACTTTATGTTTGGCAGTTCCGGTGTAGTTGTAGTGTCAACGTCAGATCAAGAAACTGAACTATGTTTGTAATAGTCATTTATACAACAAGGCATTGACAATCTCAGGTTGAAGTCGTGCCCGTTTTTAAGTGATGGTATTGCCAGCTGCACTGAACTGGCGTTCACTTGACACGGATGACGCAGGAATAGCATGATATGTTTCAACCAAAATCGCCACATCGGGATGTTTTCCTCCGTTTACTTTCCAAAACTCAAGAGAGTCAATAAAATCTATTTTACCTACCCCACCCCCATGTATACTGCACGTCGCTTGCTATTGATACAGTTGAGAAATGGTTTGAAATGTGTAATACATTTAATTTAAAACTAAAAATACATCTTGATTCATAAGATAGTTACATACTATTTCTGAAGTTCATCAGTATGGGTTCAAATCGGTCTTGCAACATGTATGCATATAGACTTGAGAAGCTATGGAGAGAGTTAGGAACAAAGTGGGGGTGGCAGCGCATTGGCATTTTATCTTACATATTTTTACCGGTATTTCGGTAACGGTACGGTTATTAGCGTGACGGTTACCGGTACTGGTTTTCAGTACCGTTGCGACCTCTACTTGAGCTACGATCCAGGAGGTCAGTAACTTCATTATATGTTAATAAAAGTAAATCAATTGTTGCCACAATGGATAGTGGCATAATAGTAAAAGACGATGAACCTACAGGGTATCGCCCATGACCACGAGGTATCCAAAGGATACGACCTTAATCGACTTTTCTCGATTTAACTTCAAAACTCAGCGGGGCTGAAAATCAATATTGATCACCACATCAAATAATGGAACAAGAACGTCGATTAACTAAACTTTATGTGAACGTTGATCTTAGATCGTGTAGACAAAGAAAATAGAACCCCGAATGATTAATACAAATAATTTGCTACAACGATTATCAATGAAACAGGGAGACTAATTAAAATATTCCTGTAGCTTATCCCAAATCATTTATCTTCATTATTAAGGAGATATGGGAGATTATTGAAATAGAAGGGTGAGCTACTTCGATGATTCCCTTAAAGTTGTAATAGTCATGTAAAAGAAAAAAATAGTTATATTATAACGTTTCCATTGCGCTGCCTATGATATGACCTCCTGTCTTAGACACGTTTAAAAAAACAATTATACAAGTCAGAAATACTCGTGAATATATTTGAAATAAAAGTTTGCTTATAACACACATATTAATACAAAATGCTTAATGTATTCATTCTGAACTCCATCTTAATATCATCTGTATTGCACTTTTAGGATGATTAAGGATATAGGAAATAAATTTACTCGTAGCGAGCGATGATTGATTAATACATTTTTAAATAGCGAGTGATGCGTGATATATATATTTTGAAATAACGAGTAATTAATGCGTAATATATGCATTTTAAAATAGCGAGTGATGCGTGATATATACATTTTAAAATAGCGAGTGATGCGTGCTTTTATGCATTTTAAAATAGCGAGTGATGCGCGATATATGCATTTTAAAATAGCGAGTGATGCGTGATATATATATTTTAAAATAGCGAGTGATTCGTGATATATGCATTTTAAAATAGCGAGTGATGCGTGATATATATATTTTAAAATAGCGAGTGATGCGCGATATATGCATTTTAAAATAGCGAGTGATGCGTGATATATATATTTTAAAATAGCGAGTGATTCGTGATATATGCATTTTAAAATAGCGAGTGATGCGTGATATATATATCTTAAAATAGCGAGTGATTCGTGATATGTATTTTAAAATAGCGAGTGATTCGTGATATGTATTTTAAAATAGCGAGTAATGCATGATACATGCATTTTAAAATAGCGAGTGATACGTAATTTATGCATTTTAAAATAGCAAGTGATGCGTGATATATACATTTTAAAAAGCGAGTGATGCGTGATATACACAATTTAAAATAGCGAGTAATGCGTGATAAATGCGTTTTAAAATAGCGAGTGATGTGCGATATATGCATTTTAAAATAGCGCGTGTGATGCGTGATATATACATTCTAAAATAGCGAGTGATGCGTGATATATCCATTTTAAAATAGCGAGTGGTGCGTGATATATACAATTTAAAATAGCGAGTGAAGCGGGATATATGCATTTTAAAATAGTGAGTGATGCGTGATATATACAATTTAAAATAGCGAATAATGCGTGATGAATGCGTTTTAAAATAGCGAGTGGTGTGCGAGATATGCATTTTAAAATAGCGCGTGTGATGCGTGATATATACATTCTAAAATAGCGAATGATGTGTGATATGTTTTAAAATAGCGAGTGATGCGTGATATATATAATTTAAAATAGCGAGGGATGCGTGATGTATACATTATAAAATGTTCATCGATACCAATTGATTCTAAAACATGATTAAAACTTAAAAAATATGATTAAAACATATTTTAGCTAAGATATTTAATATTCAATGCAATTTTCGATTTTCCAGCACAAAAACAAATTTCACATTTTTATTATGCTGTTTTCAGGTTGTCCATTCGGATGGGATTTTTATTACGAGGGAAAGTGTTATAAATTGGTGAAAGAGATCGTTGGTGTAACCACTTCCACAGCTCAGTCCCGCTGCAATAAGTTTTTCGGTGGAGGCCATCTTGCGAAGTAAGTCAGCTTTTGCAAACAGAAATATCTTAGCACACGTGCCAAAAGGGAACGTACCAAAAGTTGTAATGGAACCATGCAAGGAAAAGTAATCTCTAATGTCAGAATGTAAACTAACATTCATTCGATTTCCAGAATTGAAACCAGCGAAGAACTGGATGAGATTGGACTACAAATAGCGAGACGTCGGAGAGTGACAGAGTTGTGGATAGGTGGCGCTGAGTCCTTATTATGGGGCAGATGGAACAAAGAAAGTAAGTGAATTTGGTAGTAAATAAATATGACAGGTTTGTAAAAGCAAAAAAAAACAATCAAAGAGTCCAGATAATAGCGTTACTATACCCGGTGTATTAACCTACTTTATATTCACATGGTCAATATCTTAAGATTATGTATATGTAGATATTGCTGGTCATGAAGACGTATATTAATGACACATTAACAGTGTCTTAGGATATGGTTGGAGCATATACTTCTAAATGTGAATAAGATTGGTTAAACATCCTTCTTTATAGACATAATTGTGCTTCCTTTTTAACATACTTTTTTTATAGAGTATATATTTTTAACTTACAGCATATACAGCTGCTATTACAAAGAATGACACCAGAGCGAAGTGTATCTTCCCATTCAAGGATTCGGGAAGTTGGTCTTATTCCTGCATACAGAATGGAACAGAGACGTATTGTGTCACAGATATACGTCCTGATAATATAACTGGGGCTTCTATCCTTGGATCGTGCAATTCAAGTAAGTTAATAATGTTTCGCTCATGTGGCCATTGCTAAGTACCCTGCGCGCAGTGAGTCTAGTTATAAACTACTAAATGAAGATGAAGCTCTCTTTTAAGAGGCAAAGTCGAACGAATGCATAGGATAGTGGCTAAGACACTCAACGAGGAGGAGTTTTGGTCAGGCCTACTTACTAAGAACAGCGCCTCGGGGGACTGATACACATCGATTGTTACACTATTGAACTAATACAACTGTCACGCATAGGCAACTGTGCCATTGTGTGCACACCACCAGGAAAACTTTTGTTGAGTATCAATAGATTGGTCAGAATTCAAGACAATAGAGTTATACTCTTATGATATGGTGGGTATCTAGTTGATCCATTTTCAGTTCCTTCTTTAGCATTTAGCTCTTTCATACCATCAATAATTTTACATGTCTAGCCAATTCTAGCCAATGCTATTTATCACACTTCAACACGGCTCGTGTCATTGAGATTAATGGTAGAACAAGGACTATAAAAAGTCATTATTAATATGTCACGTTGGATAATATACCTTTGAATTGATGTATTATAGTTAATACATGGGAAGAAATGTTTCACGACCAACTGCTTTTGTGACAGATATAGCCATATTCCTTTTTGCAGTTTGTGGCTAATGAAATCATCGTGACCGCATCTGTCAATGATTATATGCACAAGTCAAAGAAGAGGTTAATCATTTTGAAGTAAATAATGTTCATATTAATTCATAACACTCAGATGAGGTCATCATGGTCTCATATTGGGCCTACGACTGTGTTTTCGTGATTTTGATAGGCAGGGGACAGTGGATGTCGGTGGTTACGATCTATATAGCACCCTAACACTGTCCACAAAAATATCATTATCCTCTTTTCCAAGATTTTCATTACTGTATTTTAATTTTTAACGATTTGAAGTTTTCATATTGAATGGGCATTTTTAGCTTTTTTGGGCATGCTTTATTTAACCAACCATTTTGATATTTTAAGTTAACAATAATTCCACCGATAAACTTATCTTTATTGTAAACAAAATCAAAAAGAGTTTGTAACAATGTGGCATTTGCTAATGCAAGAGCTTAAGAGGATGGATGTTAATCGTGTAATCAAGGGCACTATCATCTCCGTTCTATTTGATAATCACAGTCAGAAATCAAACAGTACTCTCATGGAAAATCCCAAGATTCTGGTAAAATGTCGTAAGCTTTTGGAAATATTTTTCAAAACAAAGGATCAATCTTGTTAGTTTATCTACCTAGCTTATTCATGTTAGTATATTCAGCTAGCGGAATATGTAATTTAAATAATGTAATTCGACTTAATATACCCTAAACAGATAGGTTAATCACAATAGATTGTGGTTTAGATGCAGTTTTATGACCTACCTGTATGTGATTTTTACTCGGATCGCGCGGAATTTGCAAGAGAGTGCTATTCGATTACTACCTGTGAAATTTTGTAAACCAAGACTCTTTCTAAGTACATGCTCATATATAAGAATAAATGTAATCCATCTCACGAATTTTATGAAGATGAAATACGAGGGCGACAACAGTACTTCCTGGCATTTTATTGTTTGTTTTGAGTATAATGAAATCGACGCAACTAAAGTAGTTCATTTTTGTTAGTTCGTTAAAAGCAAAACAATGTTACCTAATAGGAAATACTAATAACTCGAGTCGTATTATGATACTAGCTTTTAAGGTGACACGATCTATAATAGACCGGATTTAAAAGCATGTTGTATCTTGAAAGAAGATACCAAATCCGTATGATCTACAATGGATGTTTTTTTTCCAATGTCGTCGGTATGGTAAGGTTATCGTGATGTCAACTTTAGCTTATATCATCTTGACATATTGTTGTTTTGATTATCTCGACCTATATTCTTGCTTTTATCCACATTTTTTGTTATTTTTTTGTCATCACGTTCGTTGCTTTTACCACTTCGACCTGTTGGGAAATATTGAAGAATAATCAAGATAACCAATTTATTATCCTGTAATAAGGATACCCATTATTTTTCAATTTAATGCATGACTATCATTATATTATGTTAACAAAAATCAATTAAATAAATCAAGTAACTAGTACGTTACCCTAAAGGAAATGTTTGATCCCAAGGACCCAAGATAATGGTCTCTTCAAGCCACTGTTCACTTAAAATAAGTTTTTACTTTTGCAACACAAGATTTTTTAATCAAAGAGCAAACATATAATATTAAATATTAATATTTATATTATTTATAACTGAAAAGTAATTCAAATAAAGATGGCAGTTATGTTGAACGTGTTGAGATATCTGCTGTCGCCTGTCATGGGCAAAATAGCAATAAAAATCACATACTCAATAAAAAATACTCGCATCGAACGATGTATATACAAAAATTACAATTAAGTTTTCCATTCACTCACAATTCGTACACGTGGGCATTTACTAAATACAAATTTGTCAATGAGTTTTTTATATGTACGATTCTTACACAAATTCATGTTTTAAACTTTTGGTGAAATCATCTTTCATATAATTTCTTATTTACTTTCTAATTCGATCGAAGTGAAAAACATGAAAGGCACGTCAATTTCAAGGAGAGCGTGGATACATTAAACAGGGGTCTGGGGCTAAACAATATTTATATCCATCCTTTTTATACCATATTCAACTAGACTCCACCTATTCAGTCCTCAATGAGCCCAAAGAATCCAGAATCAAATACTTTGTCCCGAACCTCTTAAGATCTTATTTTTACCTACAGTTACTGTATACTTTCAGCTGAACTACCACATGATAGGAGACTATCTCTAACTAACAAGCTATCTACTATTAAGGCCGTCTACTACATGAGTGGCCTCAGAACGAAGCATACGAGGCTATCTACATACCTCTGTGAAGTGGAGATACAATCACTCGATCCTACAGGTATGGCATCCGTATACTAATTTATACTTAATAAATTGGTTCTTATATAAAATCATGTATGCATCCTTTCCTCCGTAAATGTACTGATAATAGTTATAGATAATAAATATAGTAGTTTTTCAAGGAGTTCTGCTTCTAGATGACTTTGTGTCTATTTGATACTTTGTCTAGATTTAGTTGAAACAAAATAATTTGGTAAAATTTGGATATTGACATTGAGTTATGGTGGAACCGGCCACAAACCACCCTGCTTGAACTTTTTTGTTTATTTTAAGATAGTATGGGTTTCCTTTTATTCTTGCGTGCGCCCTTTAACAGGTTTTGGGTCCGTATCGTTATATCGTATCTTATACTATCATTAATATTAAGTACTAGTATGTAAACTGTGGGTCACGTGATGACTGATCGCGCAGACTTATAGGTAGCGCAGAAGAGTCAATTAAAAGACAAGTCTCGGTTTGGAGAACGAAGTTCACCAATCTGCACGTTACGCCTGCTTCGGGCAATTTTAATATGTTTGAATATTGTAGTAGATTTAAATGTTCTCTTTTAGAAATTCCTAATTTAATTTTGGTGTTATTTCTCTATTTTTCATTAAAAAAGTGTTAGTCTTTGTGTCTATTTAATACTTCGTCTAGATTTAGATGAAACAAAATAATTTGGTAAAATTTGGATATTGACATTGAGTTCCCTACAGATTCATTATCATTATCGTGGAACCGGCCACAAGCCACCCTGCTTGAACTTTTTTGTTAATTTTAAGATAGTATGGGTTTCCTTCTATTCTTGCGTGCGCCTTAAGATGTTTTGTTGGGCCGTATCGTTATATCGTATATTGTGTAACTATCATTAATATTAAGTGTGTAAACTGTTGGTCACGTGGTGGCTGACCGTGCAGACTTATAGGTAGCGCAGAAGAGTTTCAATTAAAAGACAAGTCTCGGTTTGGAGAACGAAGTTCACCAGTCTACTCATGCACGTTACGCCTACTTCGATTTAAATGTTCTCTTTTAGAAATTCCTAATTTAATTTGGGTGTTATTTCTCTATTTTTCATAAAAAAAAGTGTTAGTCCAGTACCAAAGTCCAAACCGAGACTTGTCTTTTCAATCCAGAGTGACGCTGGTCACTTACTGTTATTTAAAGTGATCAACAGAAATATCAATACTTGGATTGTTACTATTTGGACTTGTATACATGTTCTATACATAATTGTATTTCGGATGGACATTTAATCGGACAGTATTTGTTCGTTTTATCACCAGAAAATGAAACATTGAGAAAATTAGAGCGTGGACACCGTAGTCAGAGAGCAAATTTCAAAAGAAACATTTGAATGTATATTTTTCGATTTCCATAAAATTGTTTAACCTGACATATTTTATTTACATTACATAGGAACAAATGATTTGTACAGAAACCTCTGATATAGTTCAAGAATTATCGAGGAAAATTCAAGCGTTGGCTTTATTAAACTGTTATGTTTAAAACACCAATTAAAACTAAATGGATTCAATTATGCAGATTGAGTTTTATTATTTACAGTTGCACATCTTTGAATGAGAATACCACATGATAGATCCTGGCCATTGTATGTTATTTCACCGTCTTCTATCATTTGTTTCGGAAATTGATTGTCCAGTTCTTCATATGCCACATAATACACAATCTTTGAACCTGGTTTGCAAATCGCCACTGCTTCTTTCATCATTGTAGATACTTCATCTGATGCAATTCTGTTGTAAGGAGGTACGGTTGACAAGCTTATTCCATCAAATTGTTCAACGCTTTTTTCAGCTGCGTAGTTCTTTATATACTCCATGATATCGCCTTCGATCCATTTTATTCTGTCTAGGCGGTCTTTGATAAACTCATAATTGCCCTTTCTTATATAAGCGTGTAATTGACACGTACCAACTATATCACCAGTCAGAGGAGCTTCCAGAAATTCATTTTTGTAATTTGGCACGTGTCGTATCATGTTTTCGAACTGATCGAGAAAAAGTGTCTCAAACTTTGAAACGTCAATGTCAAGCGCAAAGCTCACTGGTACAAAAAAGGGATTCTTTGCTATAACACGATGTGCATTGCGCCATTGTGGCGTGTTCCAAATTCTCTTGTAAAAACTGAACTGTTCTTCCATATCGTCTCCTAACGCTAGAAACTCTTGGATCGTTGTTTTATCATGGATCGATGGTAATATGTCACTAAGAGAGTTTGGGTATGCTTTTTCAAACTCTCCGTAAAAAAGGACACCCTCTTTGATAGCTTGTACAGAATTGTCCCAAAATTTCACTGTAGCAGATTCAAGGGATGATCTGATGCGATGATACATTTGAATTCTCTCTTCTGAGGTAATTCGTTTTCTGCGTACGCCTATCAGTTTGCAAAACTCCTCTCTCGATAGCATTTTCATTGCCGTTGCTTGTAATTTAGCCAAATGTAGTTGAGGGGCATTAATATCCACTGCAATGACTTCTTTTGGGTCAGCCAGTAGTTTCGTTATTGCATGCGTTCCATTTGCAGCTACAGTTAGAATTCTATCACCAGTTTTGATACCCATAGCTTTGTTAACCTTGCACATATCGATGTAGTTCTAAAATATATGATTATCAATTGAATAAAAATTCTCTATAATATGTTTTAAAGCTTCCAATTCTCAAATTATGGTATCTTCCTGATATTGTATCAGCTTTAGACCTACCTGACTAAACAATAATCGCCCTCCTCTCAGTTCATCTTCATCATGATTGGTATTCCCTTTCTCAAAAGAGAAATATCTGGAAGGAGCGTCAAGCAATCTTCGAATTCTTGTTAACTGGGTCATTTGAGACCGTACTGAGTAAATTGTGAACATTTTTGTAAATGTGCTTAGCATTCAGTTTCACGAATATGAATGATTCGAAATGAATACGATTAGTAAACTAACGGTGCATTAAAAATGTTTTGTGACATACAGGGTGTTCCAAAACTTAGTATTGAGACAACCACGTGCGTGATGGAGGAATATTTTTGAAATGTAGTCATATTACACATAATTTAGTAACTAAAAAGATTATAAACACGAAATTTGGAAAAAACGCTTTGTGTGATGAAATAGTTATCTTGAGATATGACAGGCAATAATCACAAAGATCTGGACGTTTTAAAAGGTTAGTTTGTTTAATCTTAGAGAAAATACTTGATATTGCACTCATTCTCCATATTTGGTATTGCATAATAAAAGGTGAGTTTGTTTAATCTTAGAGAAAATACTTGATATTGCACTCATTCTCCATATTTGGTATTGCATAATAAAAGGTGAGTTTGTTTAATCTTAGAGAAAAAACTTGACATTGCACTCATTCTCCATATTTGGTATTGCATAATAAACAAGAATAGGCAAATGGTCTTAGCATTTTTCCTGAAATAGTATCTGTACCAAGTATTAATATAGTCTGTCTAGAAAGTAGTTCAAAAACATAGATAAGAAGACATTTTATAAGGATTTCGAATTTACAATCGAAATTGAGATCTAACTTCTTTATAACCTCTTAAGAGTATTTTTTTAAATAACAACCTTGAATTCTAAATGGGTTGATATGATTTTAGAGGACCAAACATCTTAGATAAAGTCTGCGTTTTAAAAGTTAATATAAACTTTAAAAGTTAATATAAAATAGATTATACAGGTCGTTTAATAAGTATTGCTAATTTTGTTATAACTTTTGTTATCTTGCATATTTCTTCATGAAACCTTTGCAACATAAGCAACACATACCTGGCCTTATTTTATCCAAATTTCTGGACAACCGACTTGACAAAATTATGGTTTCTAGGGAAACCATTGTCACGGATACGCGGGGCAACCTTAAGGGTTTACATGGTTAATTATTGTTATACATCAAATAAACACTATGATGAATAAAACTGTTGATATGGTCAAATCTTGATATCGTCAGTTTGAATTATATGTATTGTCTAACAGCGATGAAAAGAGATCTGAGAGGAATATCGCACTAGAATCTCAACCAGCGGACGTCTGCAGTGAACACTGCACATCCCTGGCCACACACTTCAACGTCATCAAAGAGCAATATCGACCTATACGGTCCGACAGGATAACGCCCCTGCTATTCTCCTAAATACAATAACAGAACTTGGCATGGAAGCATTGCCCCACGCAGCATATTTCCCAGATAAGGCCCCACCTGATTTTGTTGTATTCGCCCCAGTAAAAAGGGATCTGAGAGGAATATTGCACCTTAATCAGCTGATGTCTGCAGTAAACACCTCCCTAGCAAGGGTAGATTCAAAAATGTGTACCACGAGTGGGTCGCCACTGCCAGACTGCAACTGTGAATTGACGCGAATGGTACCTGCCTATTTTGAGCACCTTATGAAGTTAATATGGATCATGAAGTGACTCTGGAATGGATTATTTATAACTGCACTGCATATCCCAAGAGTTAAATGGCATTAAACGATATTGCTTTCAACACTCAAAATGTCGTCCAAAGTGACGTCAGAAATTTGCCCCGCATATCCATGATACTTGTTACCTTAGTAACCATAACTTTGTTAATACTTAATCGATTGTCTTTAAACTTTCTTAGAATAAATGTACTTTATGTTGTGAGAGTTTCATGAAGAAAAAGCAAACAGAACAAAAGTTATAGAAAAATTAGCAATACTTATTGAACGCCCTGTAAATGTGCTTTAATAAGACCAACTAGAGCAATAGACCAACTATAAATCAACGTTTTAAAAGTATAAGGTCCACACCAAAATGTAGTTCAAATCAATTATTTTGACAAACCGCGATACATCACTTTAATAAATGAATAGTTTTGAAAGGTCTACAGGTCGGCAAGCCCCACACGTTATCTTAACCCATTTTTGCAAATGAGATGTGTTTGAGAAATCGGTCAAATATAAAGACCTTGTACTTTTAAATGACAAAAATCTTTTAAAAGTTCAAGATAATGAGACACGAAGCATTCAGGAATTCAAAACGTGACATATACAACCTCGTTTAAAGACATTCTAAAACAACTTCTCCATGGTCTTTTTTATTCCATTCTTCTAAATTGTTTACACCAAAGCATTTACTAATTAAAGTCTTAGTCAACGCATTAGAAATGTGCATTTTTGCTATAATTTGCAATAAAAACATTATCCACAAAACAGCAATATGTTGCAAACTGAATGCCTCTGTCTCAAATGAATTTGTGATTTAATAATTTTTTCTTCAGTTGATTTAATTTCCAAAGCTAGAAGGTATCATTTCATTAAACATAACTTACTACTAAATGCATTGCATTGGACTTTACTCTTCGTGCAACTTTTCGCCGCATCGACTTTTTAGATACAGTATCAATGTTTAAAAATCAATTTTTATAATGTAGCTCAATAAGAAAAAATGACATAATTTGAAGAATTTTCAAACGGACCAGCGCGATTGGCTTGAAATTGACAGATTTAATGAGTAATGGTTAAAGAATTGTTTGATGCGAAATTAGTAGATCTTTGTCTTATTTTTGCAAAATATTAAATAATGTTAATTAATCGGCGTGCTGACGTGTACTGCTGAAAAGTTTAGGTTACAAATCGTCTAGATGTATTCAATGATGATGCAAATGACTACTGTATAGCATCTTATTAAAAAGATTGAATAAAAGTTTTACTGATATTGCTTTTGCAGATTAGTCTATGGTTTTTAAAGCTGTCACTGGTGTGCCTTTCACAACTTTCATTTTATCGGGATTTCAAATCTGCATTTTTTAAAAGAATTACCTTGAATTCTAAATAGGTCAGTATGATTATAGAGGACCAAAAATCGTCGATAACGTCCGCGTTGTAAAAGTGAATTTAAAATAAATTGTAAAATATGTGCTTTAATTAAATCAAAAATATTTAAGGTCCACGTTTTAAAAGTATAAGGTACACACCGAAATCTAGTTCAAATCAATTATTTCGACAAACCGATACACTACATGTACTTTTATAAATTACTTGTTTTGAAAGGTGTACTAATAGGCAAGGTTATCTTAACCCATTATTTGCGATGGAGATATTTTTGAGAAATCAGTCAAACATAAACAAGATCTCTTACTTATAAATGACATAAAAACCTTGTACTTTTAAATGTACAAGATAATGAGACACGTTGCATTCAGGAATTCAAAACGTGACATATGAAACTTCGTTTAAAGACATTCTAAACGAACTCTCCGTGGTATTTTTTCATTCCATTTCTTCTAAATTTTTTACACCAACGCATTTTTATTTATTTATTTTTATTTAGACATATGCTTTCAGAACAGCAGCACCCTAACATTTAAATGCTAGGTGCGTCTACATATACAAAATCACATACTATTAAACATTTAAATAGAAATTGCTAAAATCATACAGTTCTTGGTTTAAAAATTTTGACTAAAAACTGCTTGACAATTTTGTCAAGACTAGAATTAATATCATGCCCCCATTCCACATTATCACCAAGCATGGTCGTTAACTTTTGATCATTACTTGATGCAAGCAGTGTTGCACAAAAATCACTAGAGGCATATGTATTAACATTACTATAAAAAGCAGATCTTTCCTTGGTAAAAAAGGGACACAATAATAATCTATGATGCATTGTATCTTTCACTTCAAGTGTGCACAATTTACATATTCCATCACTCTTATCCCATTTTTCATAGTTTGTTTCTAAACAAAAGTTGTTACTTCTTGCTAAAAACTTTAGTCTCGCACCATAAAAATCTAGATCATTTTTCAAGTAGTTCTCTAGTTTGTAGTCAGATTTCACATTTTTGTAGATGTAAAGAGAATCATGATTTGAGATGCTCTCATGAAACTTTTCTAATCTTTGTGCTTTAGATATGTCTAAAAATGAGGAAAACCAATCGCAATCGTTTCTGTAAATAACATCATCTAAGCCCTTATCTGTAACACTTTTATGTATATTGGATATAAATTTCCAGTATGACTCTTTACCTTCCTTATAACATTGTAGTAATGACCTTAAAACTTTGTGAGGGAGAGAAGATGTAGGTAAATCATAATTGAGATAATTTAAATACTCTAGTTGTATTTTTTCCAAAATGTCACACAATGGTTTCCATCCTAGATCACCTAGTAATGCTTCTCTTGCTGGCTTACTTTTAATTTGAAAAACTGCTTGACCTGCGGAGTATTGGAATGCATTAATTTTGGATTTGGCTGACTTAGAAAGCACCCATGTGGGGCAACCATGTAAGAGCGCAGGCATTACCATTGAATTAAATATGGTCAGGGTGACCGGAAAAAAGGAGACCATTGAAATAGGCAATATCTCCTAAAATAGACTAGTGACATCAATGAAATTTTGCATACATCAGGACAGTTCTATGGAAATTTGTTCCTGAAAGTGTCAATACAAGCAGTCAACTGGTTCAGGAGCTATGATCATTTACATAACATGCTCCAAATAGGCGCAATTGAGACCAACGCAGAGCTGGATACATTTGGCAAATACCCTTACATATTCCGACCTTGTTATGGCATTACATTTAGCATTTATTGCCACCTTTAGGTCAGCAATTGTCTCAGGATTGTTTTGGTACACATTGTCTTTCAAATTGCCCCACAAAAAGAAATCAGGTGGATTCAAATTTGAGGTGTATGGAGACGAAGCTTATCTGACCTATGGCTTCTGACTCAGTGGTCCCACTCAGTTACAGTATCATCCTAAGGAGGTTTTGGGCAGCCCTTGGTTTCCATATGGGATTTAATTGTGCCATATAGTGGTTTTAGTAACATGGCACTATGCCCAATACCTAAAGTGACTCTTAAGATTGGGTAAATCAGCACTTTGGCAACAGGATGATGAACCACATGTCAGATAACCCTTCATTGCCATTACAGCCTAGACTTGAATCCTGCTGATTTCTTTTTGTATGGATATTTGAAAGACAATCTATACCAAAACAATCCTCAGACTATTGTTGACCTAAAGAAGGCAATCACTGCTATATGTAATGCCATAATAATGCCATAGAGGGCAGAACATGTAAGGGTAGTTTGCCATATGAATCCAACTCTGCGTTGGTCTCAATTGTGCCTATTTGGAGCATGTTATGTAAATGATCATAGCTCCTGAACCAGTTGAATGCTTGTATTGAAACCTTCAGTAACAAATTTCCATATAACTGTTCCAGTGTATGCAAAATTTCATTGATGGCACTTGTCTAGTTTAGGAGAAATTGATTACTTCAATGGTCTCCTTTTTTTCCGGTCACCCTACTTCCAAAATCAAATCTTTTAACATTACAGTGTTTTGCCAATGTCATGGTTATGTAATAAACTTTAATAACACTAATTAAAGTCTTAGTCAACGCATTAGAAATGTGCATTTTAATTTGTAATTCAACAGTTTTTTCTTCAGTTGATTTAATTTCTAAAGCTAGAAAGTAAAATTTCGATAAACATAACTTACTACTAATGCATTGCCTTAGACTTTACTCTTCGTGCAACTTTTCGCCGTATCGACTTTTTAGATAAAGTATGTTTAAAAATCAATTTTTATAATGGAGCTCAATAAGAAAAATGACATAATCTGTAGAATTTTCAAACGGACCAGTGCGATTGGCTTGAAATTGACAGATTTAATGAGTAATGGTTAAAGAATTGTTTGATGCGAAATTAGTAGATCTTTGTCCTATTTTTGCAAAATATTAAATAATGTTAATTAATCGGCGTGCTGACGTGTGCTGCTGAAAAGTTAAGGTTACGAATCGTCGAGATGTATTCAATGATGATGCAAATGACAACTGTAAAGCATCTTATAAAAAAAGATTGAATAAAAGTGTTACTGATATTGCTTTTGCAGATTGGTCGATGGTTTTTAAAGCTGTCACTGGTGTGCCATTCACAACTGGTCTAAATGACACATGGTTTAGTAACGCAACCGTGAATCAGGACCTCCCTCTTCATCAGCTATATTATATGGGGACAGACCAGAAGCTGAATTTTAAATCGAATGTCATCAATCTGTGGCATCAGAAAAGAATCGAATGGGTAAGGATAACGTTTTCAAATACAAACTAATAAATACACTACGCTCGCCACTTATTCATGTATAACTCATATATTTCAATAACCTAGATTCGATTATTTAAAGAGCTCAACACTCTAAACCGTAAGCACCATTTTAAAATGACAGAACAGACCATAAACGGCTAGAAATGTTCTCATTTTTCATGCTGTGGTAATAGTCAATACACTATATTTGATTTATCTAAGTATCCGAACATACTAGATGGGACAACAAACGTGGGACACTTCGTATCATTTAATAAGAGCATGATGTCACATTGTAATAAAGCAAAATATTGAAACCTCTTTGACTTTGAGAATCTGTGACCAATATTCTTCGTCATGTTACGATTCGCTTCAACATATTCCATTATTAACTGTGATGAAATCTATTTAAAGGATACATATGTCTTCACGGATAAACGTGGCTCTTAGTCTAGAAATAGCCATGATCTAGCCTACATCGTTCATACCTTAATGATACATTTGCTAGTATATCATTCATGAGATATTCTTTTCAACCATTTTACAGCATACTCTAAATAAGCACATACGTTTTTACTAAATATCATCAAGTTAAATTAACTTAAACTTAAAATATTCAAAATGTTAAAAACTGTTTCAACGTCAATGCTTTTTTAACTGATACTCCCTAACATTCAATGAGATGCGATTCTATCTACTCTTTCAAATAGAAATATGAAGAAATCCAATTTTTATTGACCCATCTTGTAAAATCAACAATATACAATTTATAGTTCATTATATAGATGGCTACAATTGTGTATCATAATTACTCTACCCTTTCCAGGTCAAATTATCTTTATTTAAAGATGGTGTGGAAGTCTTTAATCTCACATTTCTAACACAGAATACAAACAGAAAGAATTGGTTTAAAGCAGATTTTCTCATATATCCTCGATTGGAACATGGGATTCATTTTGAGGCTTTGTAAGTACATGCAGTTTCTGGCATTTTTCAGAAAAAAGCATAATATCATCAAAAGTATTCGAATTATCCTGTAAATTGATGGTTGTGATTATTTTGCAGATACTTGTGTTATAATTTTGAATGAAATGAAGTTTATATATTTTGCTACCGTACCAGTTATAACACAATCTTTCCCATATTACCTCCGTTAATACAAGATAAACTTTAAGACTTATATAGTATATAGAGAGTATATCTTTATATCGAACCGAATTCATAGCAAATACATGTACAGGTGTCCCGTACGGGTGTCATAGCAAATACATAACGGGTGTATTTAAAGTAGCTTAACAATTCCAATTCAAAGTTTGTGTAACGTGTAAAGATACTTCATGGACACCCTGTAGAACGAAGGTGATTAAGCATTCCAAAGATATACTTTGTTGCAGCACTGGTCTATCGACGTTTTTAATTACTAACCAAAATGCAGTAGAAGGTAATTGCTCAATGGACAGCATATTCATAGTGTCCGACTCACGGCATTGTATGAATGAGGCAGTGCCATCTTTCTATTTTAAAGATACAGACAATCAACTCAAAGAGGCCGATGTATTTACTATATCTGTTATTGAATGTAAGTATAAAGAGATCTTTTCTCGATATCTCTATCATTTGTTTTTGGAAAATTATACTAGCCAGCCTTCAAAGTTCGGTTTTCGTGAAAATACACAGCGTAATTTATATTTGAACATCTGTATATTAATATATTTCGTTTCTCGATCGTTTTTACTAGCTTGTGCTCGGGGATGGTACCATTACCGCGGAAGTTGTTACAAGCGTTTCTTCAAGCTTGCCAATTATTGGGAATCGTCGGAAACTTGTCGTCTACAAGGTGGCCATCTTCTGTCCGTGACATCACAATTTGAATATGATGCCATGATTGGTTCTGTTCTATCGTATGTAGGCATATAAAGAATTGTTTATCATATGTATTGAATTAAAAAACTTATGATGCTACGTGTAATCAAATTTAAGAGTTCTCTTAGAGGTATAGTGACCTGTTGAAGACGATTCGATTTAATATTCAGATAATACATTTCCGTGAAATGTCTTCGTTGTACAGACAAAGTGCAATACTCATTTTTAACTTTATCGAGTATTTTCTTGTTACACATTTTAGACCCGACAACACAAAACTTGTGAACTCCTATTGGACAGGTCTCAATGATATTGAAAACGAGGGCGACTTCGGGTGGCAAGATGGCTCCAAATTAGACAAATATGAGGTGTGGGCGACTGATGAACCATACAAAAATATCACAACGAGTGAAAATGCAACATATATAAACAATGATACAATTGTTGTAGATTCCAACGAGACAAATGTGGATAAAGACTGTGTAATGTTTTATTCCTATAATGTTCGCAATGAAACGATATGCTGCTGGAGCTTTATGGTATATTTCTCCTATCCAGAATGGATGACAGCTAACTGTAGCGAGCAACACCACTTTGTATGTGAATATGAACTAGGTATGATTTAATGACAAAATTGACGTGTAGATTATAATCCAATTGTCTGTTTTGTCATCATCATCAAAGCATTCTATTGATGCGCCGTATAAACAAATCCAGATGGATAATTACACTCATTCAATTATTTTACGATACTGTATTGTTTATTCACTCGTTTACTTTTATTACTTGATTCCATTTGCATATATGGACATGTATGTTAGTATCGCTCAACTGCATCCAATAAATTATTTCCAGAAAATAATAACGGTACAGAGGGTTACATTACTACCCAGGAGCCCACTACTACGGAACTCACTACAACAGGTCACGTGACTACGGAAACTTCTACGTCAATACCATATAAGAAAAATATCACATTGCTGCCAGCTATCGTATGGAAACCTGTAAAACCGATTGAATACCCTGTAGAGGAAGCCACTGGTGGAGCTGTTTTTGGTGAGTCTCGCTTATAGTAGTCGCAATGCACACAATGGCTAGCCAGGTGAGATTCTTACTGGGTGACCGATAGATTGGCCTTCATACCGTTATCTAACTACACCTTTGAATAATATACCGCTATATATACACCATTTTCTTTTCAAACAAGTTGATCTGATATTGTTATCAAATTGTTATATGTTAAGCTGTGCAAAATATTAATTCTCTGATCCGTAAAGAATAGACCTTTCCAATAAACCCTGCTACCAATTAGTACAACAAAGAAGCTGCCATATATTGGCTACTATGATGATGTAATTAGTAACATTACCAATATGTCCTAGCAAAAATAAGATAAACGTTAGACCAGCTGCATTAATGCCTTGGTCACATTTCCCCCGATTTTCACTACGGCGCCAGGCCGATTGAGTATTTTGTTCAGAAATGTATTCAATTTTGAACAAAGTACTCAATCGGCCGGGCGCCGGCCGATGAATCGCAGCAAATGTGACCCAGGCATAACTTATTGCTAATTTTGAAAATTACAACCGCTGACGTCATCAATCTAGCCAATATATCATCGTTTTTCTGGTGTATCAAAAGGTGGCAGGGTTATTGTGAAGGTATATTGATTGCATTTTCCATCAAGCAATTAATACATTGTTGCCATCTATCGACAGCCATCTACTTTTTTAATCGCAATGATGAAGATAAATGCTAAGAGATAGATGGCGCCATATAACTGAAAATGTAAATGATATGTTCTCTACATCGTAATTCTAAAATATCGCATTGGTACACTTCAGGAGGACACTGGACATAGGGAATTTCCTATTATCCCACCGAACGAAGTTCGAGGGGGATATAGAAAAGTCGTCCGTCCGTCCGTCCGTCCGTTCGTCCGTCCGTTCGTGTGTCCGGGCAATAACTCAAATACCGGTTGATGGATTTCATTCAAATTTAATAGGCTTATGCCTTATGGGTGTAGGACCTCTGCTCGAGAAGGAATTTTCAATATGGCCGCTTAATTCAAAATGGCGGCCATTTTTGGGAAAAAATATAATCTTTAATAACTCAAATACTAGTGGATGGATTTGGTTCAAATTGTATATGCTGTTGCCTTGGTACAAAGGAGCCTTGCTCAAGAAGACATTTTCAAGATGGCCACCAAATTTCAAAATGGCGGCCATTTTTCATAAAAAACGTTATCTTTGATAACTCAAAGACCATTGAATGGATTTTGTACAAATTTAAGATGCTCATGCCTAGGGACATAGGAGCTCTGCTCGAGAAAGGATTTTCAAGATGGCAGCTTAATTTTAAAATGGCGGCCATTTTTCGTAAAAAACGTTATCTTTGATAACTCAATTACCATTGAATGGATTTAGTTTAAATTTCAGATGCTGATGCCTAGGACATATGAGCTCTGCTCAAGAAAGGATTTTCAAGATGGCAGCTAAATTTCAAAATGGCGGCCATTTTTCATAAAAAACATTATCTTTGATAACTCAATTACCATTGAATGGATTTGGTTCAAATTTTACATGATGATGCCTAGGGACATAGGAGCTCTGCTCGAAAAGGGATTTTCATGGTGGTAGCTAAATTTCAAAATGGCCACCATTTTTCATAAAAGAACGTAACCTTTGATAACTCAAATACCAGTTGACAAATTTCGTTCAAATTCTATATGCTGATGCCTAGAGACAAAGAAGTTGTGGTCAAAAATGAATTTTCAAGATGGCCACTGAATTTCAAAATGGCTGCCATTTTTTGTAAAAAAACGTAATTAATGATAACTCAAATACTAGTGGATGGATTTGGTTCCAATTTTATATGCTGATGTTTAGGGAAAAAGGAGATCTGCTTCAGAAGAAATTTCAAAGGCGATAGCTGAATTTCAAAATGGCTGCCATTTTTCATTAAAAAAGTAACCTTTGATAACCCAGATACCATTGGACGGACATTCTCTGCTAAAGAAGAAATCTAAAGATGACAGCTGAATTTAAAAATGGCAACCATGTTCCATAAAGACATAATCTTTGATAATTCTAATACCAGTGGATGAATTTGGCTCAATTTTTTTTTATCAAAACATGTTTTGTTCGGTGGGATTTGCTACTCCGTGGAGTTGCTGTTTTTCTAGTTTCGATTATCATGAGCTCATGATTCGCTTATACATTTGAAAGGAGGAGGGGGTGATTAACGTTTTTAATTCTATATTAGGTGTTTCAATATCTGGTAAAACATTAGGCGTTTTTGAAATTTTTGATGCAGACATGTCAACATTGAATTCGAAATTTTATAAAAAAGTAAATTAGTTTTACTAAATGGTTAAGCAATACAAAACCAATATCTAAAAATACACTGTGTGATCAGACGTTACTTTTACATTTTCATGCTATCGGATATACTATATCGATATCTTGCATATAAAATATTCCTTTGCAAATATGTTCATTGCCTGAATTTAATAATTTGGCATTTATTTATTTCATCAAACAGACTTGCAATAAGCATTGAACAATGTTCATATATCGGTGTGCCTGTTGTCTAGGAGTGCATCTCTCTGTCTGTCATTTATCATCTTGTATACGAAAGCATGAGAAAACGGGATTTGCCCACATGTTATTAATAATTTATGTATCAAACAAAGCACGAACAAAAAACAGAATTAGAATCCACCCTCTGGTAAAGCGTTGGTATAGAATAACTTATATGTGATCAATAAAAATATGTTAGTTAGAACATACTATAATGGCGTCAATGTCATGAAGGTTCTGTTATTTATTGAAAAAGAGGCAGAGAATATATAGATCAGGTAGAAAATACCACGAGCAGTTTTTCCATAATCAATTTTTTATAGGAATAGCAATATTCGCAGTCAAATTAAAATAGAAGGAAAGATTGAAGGGAAATAATTGCTAACGTTGAACAAAACACATGGGTTGGCATAAAGCTAATGTAAAATGATTTATGTTTATGCCATTAGTTATCTATAGTCAGTTATGATTTATATTTGAGGAATTATAGGGAATAAAACCGTTTTATATCTTTAATTGATTTTCCAGGAGCCTTCGGATCAGCTCTTCTCATAATAGTTGCTGTAGTCATAGTTCTATCAGACTCACAAGCCTTCATACGTGACTTTTCCCGACTGAAACGAAACCTCAAAGGATGTTGTGATAGGCGGAGACATCATAAGAAAAAGAAAAAACTTTTGAATAAATTATTCGACAATGCCAGGGAGAATGCTGAGTATGGTAAAGCATCTAGTGATGCAGTACATTTAACGATGGAGAATGGCGTTAAAGCAACTGTCGTATATGAACTCAGGGATCCAGAGGAAAGTCGAACCGATTTTACAAAGGATCCAATATTATCAAAACTCACATCGAACGCTAACAATATTAAGACTTCAGACTCTAATGGTGCTTCTGCCATTCGCCTGGCAAAAGGAGAAAGTTCATCAAACAATGGAAATAGTAATCTAAAACGTCGTAAAGCGACACCAAACTCAAACGCTCAAAATGGTTCAATGAAAATGCCAGGTCGAGCGAATCCTAGTTTTATACACAGTTCACTATCATTACAATCTGCGGCGAAAAGTCCCATGGTTCAAAAAGATGGACAGATTCCTCATATGGGACAAGAGATATCGCCACAAAATTCCAGTGAATCTGGTATTGGAAGTGACCAAATAGATATGGAAATATCAGACGAGCAAATAATGATTCACTTTAAAGACCCCGATGACAAAGGGGGAGATATGGTGTACTATAATCAGGAAATTGACCACAATCCAATCCCTTATCCCCCAGAACCACCGATTGATTACGAGACAAATGAGGACGAGACAACATCTCAAGAAAATGTCACTTCCCAATCCACACAGAACAGTCAACAAGATATTGCTGAATTAAAGATGGCGCTTGAATCAACGTTTAGACCTCAATCAAGGGAGACATCTGTGAAAGAGGGTGGAGATGAAAATGACTGGAATGAATGGTTGCGATGACAGATATTATATAATATGTACGTTTACCATCATACATCTGAATGTGAAACATTGAACATAAATGTACTTAAACAGCCCTACTGATAATTTCATGAGTTAATCGACACTGTACTTTGGATCTTTACACCGAAAGCAAAACATTGAGTTTACTTGACATTTGTTATTCATATACATATAGGAGACCTTCCAAATGAATATTGCAGGTTTTCGCTAAACAGTTCTATCGATATCGATTAATTTGACATATTTTTTACGATAGTATGTAGTTTCTATGAGCGTTTCCACTGTGACATATCTGCTTATTACAGAGACCCCCTTGACTTTATCACGATTCGGTGAATATCCTATATCAAATAATGGAAATACTAAATCGTGCGGCATTGAGACCAGTTTTAAAATAACTTCATGACATTTTGAAATAAAAATTGTTATTGATCAAAACATCAAAAACCGGGAGGTGATTCATACACTTGTTGAGGGGGAAAAGGGACATATATACGATTTTTCAAAAGCAAAACTATTCCAGGTGTAAAAGAATAGGAGGTCCTATTAATTTATGGTCCTACTCTCCATTGATTTATATTGTGACCTCTTTCTATTATGATCTTATACACAATCAGGGCCAGTAAGGGCTTTTGAAAGGGGGACCATAATCCCTTGGGGACCATCATTTCTTTCACACCGGCATCCCTCATCGGAAAGTAGTATATGCAGTATCATGGGATGATAAATGATATTGGCGTATTGATATCGGTCTACTTTCTGAGGTACAGTACATGTACATGTAAGTGTATATTTTGTTCAATTTCATGAAGCAATAAACAATGATTTGTAGCAAACTGAATGTATAACAGGATCTTAAGAGGTTCTGGACAAATCATTTGATTCTGGACTTGACATATTTTTTTTCCAACGAAATCACATCCAAGGGTTGAATTTTTATTGGATATTTAGAGAGCGAGTCCTGTATTGATTTCAATAAAAAGGTTAAAATAGAACGCTATTTGAGAGTTAATCTTATACTTTCATTACATTGATAAATTAAGGCAAATTCTGAAAAATTTTAAAGTGCATTTTTTATGAAATATTATCCAAGTATTTAGATGAAACGGTCTTATTTAAATACAAATCATAACATGATGATATTTTTTCATAAAATATTTCTTCAAGAAATTCAATTGAAGGCTCAAGATAAAACGAGCTAATTTAGGTGAAAACCCTTACATGATGATGTGTTTTCATGACTTCTTTCATAAAATTCCATCAAGGGGTGAAAATAAAATGATCGAATTTAAGTGATTTAAGGATCACGAGGATAGGTTTTCTTGGATATTTTCTATGAAATCCCATCCAGTGGTCAAGGTAAAACTTTTATTTGGTATATTTGGTCACGTGTTCGAACCCATAGAACCATATAGGAACGTCATTTTGAATGTTACGTGATAAATCCATATAAGGCTTTTAGAACAATGTGGGGAAAGATGAAGGGAAACCCCTGACACCTGTTCACGATTTTATCCGAACGTTCATCGGATCATTTCGGTTTTTATGCACTTCATTATTTTACCGAAGTTTGCCGATTCGATTCGTCGTATTTCGGAATATTGGGGACAATTTTATACTCCATTGGGAGTATTTTTAATCTACTTCTTATTACGAAGATTCCCGAACCTTGTTCGGATTATTCCGGATTTTCTGACCTACTTCATCTACCGAGATTTAACGAGTTTACATTCGGCTCATTTCGGAATCCTGGTGACAATTTTATACTCCATTGGAGTATTTTTGATCTACTTCTTATGACGAAGATTTCCGAACCTTGTTCGGATTAATCCGGATTTTCTGACCTACTTCATCTACCGAGATTTAACGAGTTTACATTCGTCTCATTTCGGAATCCTGGTGACAATTTTATACTCCATTGGAGTATTTTTGATCTACTTTTTCTGGATTTTGCCCTACTTATTATATCTTTACAACAAGCAAATCAAAAAATTCGCCATGAACGGGTCTCGATCGACTAACCTAGAGCATGGAAGCTAGGCACGTTAGCCATGAGGCTAACGTGCAACCGATACGAAAGGATAAAAGTATTATATATTTATACCGAGCGTCAATTCAAAATGATCTTCACTTTTGACTGCACGTAAACACAACTCGTCAGTTGTATCCAGAATAGATGAACGCCTATGGTACTAGTGAATAACCAAGTCCCAGGCGAGTGGTTCGCACCCCACCGTGATATGTTATTTTTGCTTTTTTAATACGACAGAAAGGAGCAAGGTCACTGGCATGTAGCGGTCCTGATATCGATACATTCTACACGCAATAAAACCAGATACAGTCCATCTTTTAACGAAAGTGTCACTTTGCCGTCCGCCGTACACTCCTTTGCCGTGCGAGTGCGATACCCTTGTTTTACTTGAGCGGCGCGGTCGCTTCGCGTGTGTGACTACCTCGCGTTTACCTTGCTTTGCGACAGGACTTAACCCGCGAACCGTTCGTGCTTACATAGCTTAACGCCAGTGTTGCCTTCGCTCAACGATTGTATACGCATATTAATTAAACTAAACCTACATTATTTTTCATTTACATATGTAGTAGAGACTATATTAACTCAACTTTCAGACAAGATTTTAGTGTTGCGTTTTTCTCAGTTTCAATGAATATTTGATTCGTCTAATCTGTTTTGAAAAAGAATACAATTAAAGTGATTACGGATCATTCCATTTCACATTGGTCCAGTGGCACACATGTACAAACATTTGAAGCAGTTGTATACGCTTTTCGGTGATTTAATTTTTTTTAAAATTACGTTTATTAATAAGTCGACAGGAATGTTACGCCTATTCTTCTTACAGTAGTTTCGTGCGCGTGTGTACAGTCCCGGAGTAGTTTTGATGAATTAACCTTTTTGGGGGGACGTGCTCTAGTTGCACTCCGGCCTTCAATACTACATCATACACGGCCGGTCGGCTCTGACGAAACCCAGAGCAATATAGCAACCATGTTACAGTCTGAATCCACTTTTCTGGCTCTAAACAAGCCATTTGAGAAACTGCATTAATCGGTCTATAATTCTGCAATTTGTCGTCGGAATTCTTAATAAATAACACCATGGTTTAGCTCGGAACGATAGCTTCCCGATGGTAAAAAAAATAAATTGAGGGAGGGACAGGAAACCCAGGGGTTCATATTTATTATATGTTCACGTACAAGTTCTCTAAAATACGTGTACATGTAGCTAGCCTCTCTGTTTCTACGTACTCAACATCCTGTAAATGCACAAACTGTACAAAGAATATCCGTATTTAATTCATCTTTTTAAAGTACTAAAAATTCCGGATTTCAAATTCGAATTAAATCCTATATAACATCCATAGTACGAGGGGTGATCCAAAAGTCTTGGACGCCCTGCTCTAATTATGTTGGTTTTTGATAAAATTACTTTAAACTTTCCAATAATAAAGACCAACAACTTAACTACTTTGTGTGTTAATTTCATGGAGAAATTATATATTTGATGTAGTTTTCTAGATAGTTTTTAATATAGGGACCCTGCCACCCGGAACGGCATACGCACATGACAACTTTCAGCCTTAAATGTTCCCACCATTTCACTTGTTTCACAAGTCTTGACCACTATCTTCCTTTGAATTTTGAATGTTAAACCATGTTAGTTTACTTCCTTTGTTATTAGGCAATCAATTAATTGTGTTTTAAATATCATGTCATATATGACAATGGCTGTATATGCCAAATTCTAAGAAAATGAATCCAGACAAGCAACCCTCGTTCTGGTATCATTTTCGGTCCAAGATGGCTGCTGAAATGGAGAACATGAAATAAATCAAAGTAGAACAAAGTATACTACAAGATATTCTCACTTTTATTGACCTTGAGCAGCTACCATATGCACGATATAGTCTAGATATGGCTCTGTGTGATTTTCTTCCTTTTCTGAAGTTGAAAGAAGGGTTGAAAGAAAATGATTTTTACTCATTGGATGATGTTTAGAGTGGCACTCCAGCAGCATTTGTATCACATAAGCAATGGCGCTTTCATAAATGTCTTTCATTCATTGGTAAAGCGGTATGAAAAATGTGTTCAAATTTGTGAAAATATATTGAAAAGAAGGTCTTGATATGTGAAGATGATGATGGCAGATGACACTCAGATTGAAAATCGGAAAATCTCTCATATCATGACTGGTGTTAGGTTGTGTACCTGCACCTAAAGTATTTGCCATATTATAACAGTTGTGACGTGATTTACTATATTCAAATACCGTTCCGGGTGGCCGCGACCCGGTATTAAAAACTATTCAGAAAAGTAGCTAAAATATATCATTTTCTGTTGAAACTTATGCACAAAGTTGTTAAAACGTTGATCTTTATTATCTGAAAGTTTCATGTAATTGTATTAGAAAATAGCAAAGTTAGAGCGGGGCGTCCAAGACTTTTGGATCACCCCTCGTAAGAACAATGTAAAGTATTTTCCATAAATAAGGGGTTTAAATTTAGTGACATGACATATGTTGTCATAGATATAGTTTATTTCTACTCCCGGGCACAAGGGCCGATTACAGCTTGAAATTGTGAAATTGCAACAGACACAATTACGTACATTATGTATCTATGTAATTATGTACAACAGTACATAATTTCGGCAATAGCAAATACACCAAACGTGTGAATTTAATAACTACATTATGATATTCTGTCTCGATATTCTGTATTGGCACTCGACTTCGTCTCGTTCCAATACGGAATTTCTCGAGCAGAATATATCCTGTATTGCACTTCAAATCATTCAATAACTTTTAATATTATTTACATCCAAAACGTATCGTTCTTACTCTATTGATTCACAACAAGCAAATCTAGGGAGTATCACAAATAAAACAAGCATTTCCTCGCGTGCATTTAACTTCTACAGTGAGTAATTACATGTACTCCCGTGGGTTCTCAAAGTTTCACTTATTTTAGGCACCCCCCCTGGCCAAAAACTCTTTCAAAATCATGCAGTTTTTCATAATTCTGACCATTTTTCGTGTGATTTTGGGTCAAATTTGCAAAATGAAGTCTTCGAATGAACATTCATTTGCCATGATAACCACCGAGATGCAATGGTCAACTTTTGCTTTTACGTTTAATTATAATCAACGCCTTCCCTAAATTTCTTGTTAGATCATGAATGCCTGACTTCACCAAGCATTTAAATTATA